AAAAATCCTCTGTCCCCGTCGGGGATCGAACCCCGGTCGTCCAGCCCGTAGCTAGTCACTGCACTGACTGAGCTATCCCGGCTCATAGCCGATCTAGTGTAGGCGTTAAAAATTACAACAGTAAGCTTCGTGTCACGGTTGACAACGGCGAGCAACTGACTCACAAGCAGCCACCAAAGTTGCTGCTGGGATGGCTACACAAGACCCTTCAATTTCTTACCATAGCTTTGTGCCGTACAACACATCTTTCAAGTAACCCCACAAGAAAGTCAGGTGCAGTTAAATCTGTACCGTAAGTTTCAAATTTATCGCAAATTATTGTATTTGTTAGTCATTTTGGAGGCATGGTTTCAGATTTGCATGTCAACTATATTTGCACTTCAAGCACATTCCCAAATTTCCAGTACGTCTTCAAAATTAAGTTGTGTAGTTCGAACCTCAGTTGACCCTCTGGCAATTTCGATATCTGAATCATGGGAAAAGGTATTGGGTGCACCATCTGTTAAGTGTAGACCACACTAGGTTCTCCTCATAAATAAAACACATGGAGATTTATAACATGGTTAGTGTTCTGTATTGTAATGTGTATTCACCTATTTTGGGAGACACTATGCACGTGCATGCGCACACATTTACTCACACTGTAACATTCAAACATTCCTTCATTCTAAAATAATTAATAATATTTAATGTTCAATTTTCTTTATCATAATGCATAACAAAGACATTATAAATCTCCCTATTTTTAAAGAAAAGGTTCTTGTTAACGCCAACATCAACTGCAGAAGAGGACGACTCTTTGTGGACTATTCCTCTCACTTATACAGTGCAGGACAGTAACTTTGATGACACTTCTACCAAACAGTGGATGAGAGGCTCTTCTCTGAAGATCAACCGACCAACTGAAGAAAATAAATGGTTCATCTTCAACCCGCAACAAAATAAGGTTAGGTTACTGAAATGATTTCAATTAAATATGTAAATTATGTGAAAATAATAAATAAATGTACCCGTGCACCTATTATCACATGTTCTTTACTGCTTGTCATGTGGCCATTGTTAGGAGTCAGAAGTTGAATGTGGCCTGCCATTGCTAAAAGGTGCCTACCCCTGGTCTGCATTAATTAGTTTCAAAGATATTTGTCAGGATTTTACCCATTCCTTGTTTTTAAACATAAATAGCATTTGAGCCTGATCTTCCTCATCAGGTTAGTTTCACTCTCACGTTTGTTGAATTCTGACATTTTTTATACAGCACAGTATGTTAATATATAAGAACATGTTTAAAGGAGAATTTGTATGTACCATCTTTTAAGGGTGATTCTTAATATAAAAGATATTAAAATTAATTATTTTTTAGATCTTACGATGAAAATCAGAAACAGAACTTCTTTATAACAATACTAATGGGACCTGCAGGTAACTTTCATTTTATTTAAAAATAACGTTAAACTGTGAACCAGTTGATTGTCTGTAGGGTTCCATTTTCACCTCTAAAGGAACTAATAAACTTACAGTAATGCAAATCATAGGGCTGAGAATGCCTTAAGTAGGATTACCAACAGTATAGGAGACATGCACAGTCATAATCATTATCCCACAAGATCAAAAATCATTTCGCTGAATTACCATGGCAAATGCTATAATAAGAGAACACACAAGTATGATGGTCATCACTCATTATATTACAGTAGATGTCACTAAATGGAAAATATTGTGCTTTAATGACATAACTAGGTCTTTATTTCATCCTGTTAATAAAAAGAGTTGGACTTAATTTTAAATACATTGACTTCAACTACAGAAAAATTGTTGTCATTAAAAGAATAATTTGCAGACTGCAGTCATCGGTATAAACTCAACCCTCTTCTTATAGAACTAAACACAAAATTCCAGTCAGTATTTTATAAGAATTATGTGAACTTCAACTTGTTACGAATCTTGCAGAGATAGAAGACAGAAAACTTCCTGCTTACAAGGACATTCTGAAAGTTAAGATGTTTTATATACACACACATGCGCGCACATGCATACACAAAAAAACCCTGGATTGCTGGTGAAATCAGTTGTGACATCCATACACATATACTGTTCAGAATATTTATAAACTGGTGGTTATGGAATATACAATGTCATTTTTAACTACAAATGCTCAAAATAAAAGTATCATGCAAACTTCATATGTACATGTGTATTATACATAGTTGTTGTTTTATGTCTGTAGTGTAGCTTTTACATGAGTTTAACCCTTAGATTGTTTTCCATAGGGTTCTATCGAGTGAATTATGATGATAACAACTGGTATCTCCTGATAAACTACCTGGAGAGTGAGGGTTATGAAAAGATTGCTGCTGTTAATAGAGCACAGCTATTGGATGATGTCTTGAACTTGGCCCAAGCTGGTGTTCTAAAATACAGCACTGCTTTGGAACTGACCCAGTACATGGAAAAAGAGGCGGATTATATTCCCTGGTACTCGGCTCTCAACGCCTTTTCATTCCTAAATCTTCGACTGACAGGCACTGATATTTATCCTCTCTTTCAGGTAACGCAACATACTTGAGGACAAAACCATAATTCATGTGTTATATATCTTAACAGTTATTCATATTTCTAACTGTAGTTTTGATTTTCGGGAAGGAATTTAATTCTCGATGCACGGGAAATGTGTGCTTATAAACCAAGTTTCATTTTTGTCATGATCTACAATTCCTACATGGACAGAATGCTAAGAAAAATACACATAATTATTTATTAACACAAATATATACATATAGTAGTAAAATTTTACATATGGTGATAAAAAATGTAAAAGGGAAGAAATTTGTGTTTCAGGTTGTTCTTAGTATGAAGTAGTATTTCAAAATATAATTACAACTTGAAGATGGCTGTCTTCAGGCTTGCCGCCATGAAAACTTGAAATCCTGCTTAAGGTTAAAGCAAAATATAATAAATCAAAAATCTTTAAATACAAGAGCATTTATCAAGAAAAAGTTATAAGACCTTTAGAAAATTCACATAATGTGCTTAAAACTGTACAAGATCACACTAAACTATCAATTGTAACATTTTATACCATCAGCATTTATTTCAATTCCTTCCTTCAGTACTCTAATGCTTCAGTAAATTTTCCTCCTCCTTTTTTCTCTCTTTGGATATTTATGTATTTGCACATTTGTTCTTTTTCTCCCTTATTATGTTTAATTTTTTTTTCATTCATGCTATGGATGAGTTATTACACTTGGACAATGGCCCTTCTTCCCTATATATCTCAGGTGACACTGTTGGTCTTGGAACGTTTAGCTATCAAATTGCAGCTTCTTTTAGTTAAATTTAAAGGTTGCTGTAAAAATATAAAAATCATGCATTTCTGCTAAAAATGTTCCACGTGAAATGGAGTTAATTTTATACATGTGACTAGTTGCAGTCTGACTGTATTTGTATGTGTGTAAACTTTTTTTAATTCATATTGGCGGTAAATAAATGCTAAAGCACATTTATACGGTGAAAATATATCAACTTCTGGAGACTGTGGGAAGCTCTGGATGTTTAGTATTATTTTGTGCAATGTAAGCAAGAAAGTATAACAGTTGCATTAGAATGACTTCAGTTTGAGATAAGACAAAGAAGAGAATTTGGAAATATGTAGTTGAAGAATCAAAATAATCACAAGAATTTTCTCTACTAGACCTTTTTTTTCACAATGCATTTATAGAGTTTCTAAAGAAGTTCTCTTCTAGGGCCATGTTGTTTGTCTCCGCTTGTTGAATTGTCGATACTGATTTCAGATCATTTCTCACAAGTCACTGCATCTAAAATCTCACCATGATCATAGGTAACAATATTTTTATTTCACAGTGTAGTAACTTGTTAAAATTGTTGCAGTAATTGACAATATCTTAACATACAGAGACTAGATATTCTTGTAAGATTTTAAGGCAATGTAAATGTCTGTGTCCTAAATACATAAAATGACTGAATCGTGTGCATACCATGAAGACTTGGGGGAGTGGCAATAGATGTGACAGTGTTGCAAACATGTAAGAACTAAGATGGCCGTCTTTTGAGATGTAGTCCGTTAGAAGTTTACCTGCATTTCAGAGGAGACAGCAAGAACCTCTTGAAATGTTGGTAAAAGTCAAATTGAGATCTATATTTTTTCTTGATTCAATATAAAAATTCAAGACGTGCACATGTATAACCAAATTGTTAAACAATTTTCATGTTCAACACATAATCATTTCATCATTGTGTTGTGTTAACTGGAACAAATGCTGTGTGACAAGATGTTGTAATAACACTGTGCAGGTTTACTAACTTACAGCATATACTTGAGTGGGAAAAAATTAAGTTGTTCAAAATAATTTAACACATAAATTGTAAGGAGATTACTTTCTTTTGGCAGGAATACCTCTGGAAATTGATTCAGAATGTGTATGAGGAGCTAGCGTTTGAAGAAAGTGATGCTGATAGTCATGTGACCCAACTTCACTGCAGCTTGATCATTCAGTGGGCATGCAACTTGGAGCATGAGCACTGTATTGAAACAGCCAAACAAAAATTTAGCACCGTATATAATGGGTAACTCATGACTTCTATACCATAGCTTTAACAAAATTATAAGTTATCTATTGCATATCAGCTTTTTGCCAGTAAAGTGAAATGTTTATTTTTGAGATGTTATCTTATCAAAATTCCATATATACACTGAAACCCTTTCATATTCTTTTGCTAGGAACCAAGTGTTTTCATATTGTATGCAGGACATGTGTTTTGTTATGACTTACTAGCTCATTCAAATTGAATACTATGATTCCATCTCATTCCTCCATTCAGATATGGACAGTTAAGTCCAGAACTGCTGCACCAACACACCAGAAACATCTACATTTACAAGGTTGAAAACAAAATTGTATGGTGTTAACGTAAAAGAATCTGGAACAAATGGGGTTCAGTTTCATGTAGGGTCATAAGAAGTAGTAGAATCCTGTTAAGCACTGATGTCAAGGGCAGGACCACATTAGCTGTGACCATGATTTCATGTTCTAACAGTTGTGGTAATTGCAGTTAACTTCCATGCTGTATAAAAATGATAAAATTTATTTATAAGTTAGAAATTAGATGTATACATGTGGCATGTGGACATAATGAACCATGCACTACCTTTTGCTTATAGGATAAATAATATAGATAAGAATTTGATATAAAAAATTTGCAGTTGTGGAAAGTAAATTCTGTGTTACGTATAACAGTATTTCTTTTAAATTCTCATACATATATCAGACAGTGAAGCAGTAGCTTAAAAATAAAATAAATCCTTGGAGCAGAGTAATTCTTGTTAAGCTAATCAAAAAGTTCCCAACTTCTTATTGAGCTTTAACATTGATTACCTTGTTCACAAGAGCAGACCACTGAAATATCAACCTGGAGACTGGCTATCCTGACTGAGGTTTTCATGGTTTTGCTCAGTTTCTCCAGCAAATGTCAGGATAGTACCTAAAATTAGGCCAAGACTGATTCCTTTCTGATTCATTATTCACTATCATCCTCTTATTTCATGCTACATAGTCTGAGCTACTGAAAAAGCATAATTTAATAAACTATAAATAAAAATAAATAAAAACTCACTAAATCGTATGCTGGTCCAGATGAATCTAGTTCAGAAACTCACATCCTAATTCTCATGTGTTATCTTTTAACTACACTTTTGTATGCATTTCTCATCCCATGCATGCTACAGGCCTCACCAACCCCAACCTCCTCATTATGCAATGTTCCCTCTGCTCTTGGTACTTCCACTTTCGTAACTACAAATATTCTCCTCAGCACCCTGTTCTCAAAAACACTCAACAGGCTAAATTATAGTTTCCCATATTTTAATCGTGTTTGTAGATAAGAGATGGAAAGAGGTGAAGCTTTTCCAATGACTGAAGTTCATGAAAGATTCTTGGGCTACCAACGTTTTGAAACAAACCATGTCTTCTGCCAACATTTCGAAATGTTGGCAGAAGATATGGTTTGTTCACCGTTCAGCCACCTGATGAGGCTTGTAACCCTAGAGTCTTTCATCAAGAGATGGAAAGATGGAGGCTTCTGAAGTAAACAGTAGCAAGCATTCACAGAATTTATTCCTTTCATAATTCATAAATGTAATTTTAATTTCTTACTGGAATTTTAAAATATTTGGACTTTTCCACCTTTTTGAAGGGTTATTATCTGCTTTTGACCTTAATTCTGATGATAAGACATTAACACATATCTTAGAATTAAACCTCAAGAATAAATATATATATATATATATTTTTTTAATAATTAATAATTCGAATGTTAATTAATTGTTTCACAGAATAATGAACAACTGACCAAAAATATGCAAAACACTACAAAAAGAAATCTACAAAACGAATAAATCAATAAATGGTTGCATTAATAAATATATATTAGTTTTAAAGATAAAAATAACAATAAAAA